TGTGATCAAAAAGAATTTCCTGCACAAGTCCATCTGCCTACCTTTAAAAATAACCAATTGTGGTTTAAACCTGTTGCACTGAAAGGGAAACATTTTTCTCAAAGGCAAGCTTTTCTAGGAGCTCTATCCAGACTACCTATCAGGATAGGAAATTGTCAGGGTGGGTTGATGCCAGGTAGCCTGTTGGTATGACACAACTTTGGAAAAAACCCACCAAATTAAACCAGCTTTTCAGCAGAGATAACTTTAGAAATAATAAAGCCTCATAATATAGTTTAATTTACTTTCTATCTTAAAGAAATGCCATAAGACTTCGTATTCATAACTCTTCCCTAATGCGGACCTCAGTGTTTAAGGACATCTGAAGATATGTAACCTCACAGAACAGAAAGATTTTCTACTTTGCTTAAAATGAGAAATGTAGTGAGTAGCAGCAGTGCTTCAGTGAAGAAAATGCACATCTCTCAAGAAAAACATCTTCAGGGAAGCTGAAGACAAGACGAGGTAAAGCCAATTTTAACTGAAAACCACTTACCAAATAAGTGCACTTACTAATTAGTATGCTTTATCTCAGTATTATTCTTGAAATCATTTTAAAAACAAAATCACAGTAGTAGCATGTGCATATGTATGCAGACATGGCATAAACACAGCGACAGAGTGAGTAGGCCGTACAGTCCGAAGATAAACTAGATTACCTGTTCCGAACTGGTGAGGCACAGCCATGACAAAAAGTGTGGTACAACACTGAAAGCAACCTATGAGACTTCGGAAGGCTCAGTGTCGACTCCATGCCCGTGTGAGCGTTCACGCTGCAGTAGCAGTCGGAGGAGTCTGAGAGCAGCAAGGCAACAAGGGGGAGAAAGGACTGACAGGGGAAGCTTCCTTCCTAAAGGCTGGGGAGCCCTGGGCTAAACAGAAGTCCTGTTGAAGTCGTCTTCAGCTCTGTGATGACAGGTTTTGTATGCAGCTGTGATTTGAGACGGTTGGCTTAGATAAGCAAACCTACTCATGCCCTGTGAATAAAGTTCTATCTAATATATGTTAATTTGGGATTAGAGCAATTTTTTGTCTACAACACATATGTAATAGACAGCTCCAATCTTTTCTGCAGACACTAATCTGAGAGAGAAAAATTGCTTCTTTTCACTATGTCTGAGCCTCAAATTGTACTTGAATGTGAAAGTACCTTAGATAATCTGGGTAGCAGAAGCAGTCTAGCTACACCAACACGAGACTCGAACTCACTCTGGTTTTCTGTAGGTCGCCTATGCACGTGGTATGCTCTATTTTCCAATTTTTTTTTTTTTCCAATTCACAGCCTGTAGAATATACCTCATAAATTTCAGTTAGAAGGTAGAATGCTCACAAGAAGTACATATTTAAAACAATCACTGTGGTCTTCAGAGAAACAATATAATACATGACAAAATATTATTGGCCCTCATCTCCAGCATACTTATTTAAAGGTATTTAACAGGAAGCATAGTTGGAGGTGTTGACATGTTGATACCACACAACACAGTTAAAGAAATTAAAGAAAAAAATGCTAATAACTGATGTGTTTTATGCCCTCTAAATTAAGAGCTGTTCTGTATAATTTGTCTTCTAAATTGTGTACTGTTTCATAGAAAGAAAACAGAACTTGACTGATTCCCTTAAGTGAGTAAACACAGCAAGGAAGGAAATCAATTATTAAGAAAATAATTATACTTGTTATTGTAGTTAAAGAAATTAAAGAAAAAAATGCTAATAACTGATGTGTTTTATGCCCTCTAAATTAAGAGCTGTTCTGTATAATTTGTCTTCTAAATTGTGTACTGTTTCATAGAAAGAAAACAGAACTTGACTGATTCCCTTAAGTGAGTAAACACAGCAAGGAAGGAAATCAATTATTAAGAAAATAATTATACTTGTTATTGTCAGGAGGTATGTAGGGAAATAAGTGCAGCACTGCTCTGCCAGCAGTGGTGGCTTCTACAGTTCAGAGCCACCAAGGTTCCAAATGTGCCTTGGTAGGATTAGGTACACCATAAATCTTGCTCTACAAATTTGACCTATATATTTGTCTCAAAAAGCACTATATGACAACAGTTTGAAGACAGACCTATCTTGGGCCACTTGCTGTTCTGATAAAAAAGGACTTGAGACACTACTCAGGAGCTGAAGTGAAGCAGATGAAAACTATCTCTCCACCCCTGCAATGCTGATGGCAGCCTGAAAAATAGAGAAGAGCCGTATCTCATGCTAACTGCAGCTTGCAGAGTCTTGAGGCTCAGACACAGTAAATAAAATTGATGTAAGCATATTTAGTTTACAAACATCAAGCATCCGCATAATTAAGATTTGAGGTCCCAGACATAACAATTCAGCTATTAAAAATCAGCCTCTTAGAGCTGTCTGCTAGTAACTCTCAAAAACTTTTTATTCTTTTTTTCCATATCAAAACTATTAGTTACTTACAATTAGCATTCACAAACAGCTTTTTTGATAGTCTCAGGTGGCAGGATAAGCATTAAAAAAATTAGCCTCTAAAGACAACATATGTTAGCAGGATTATGCAAAGCTACTCCTGGCTCTCCTCCAATGAAAAAGAAAACCAGATTTACATTTTCAATATTTTTCCATAACACGTTTCAGTTATGTCAATTCAAATCTAGCCAGCATGGCAAAAAATGGGTTTATCAGTACACTGCAAGGTGATTTATAGTTAATATCTAAATATTCCTGAAGTGCGGCAAAAGTCCAGGACAAGTGTTTGTCCATATTAAATGTTGAAGGTAAACACAGGAAAACTTTTTCTTTTGTAAACCAGATTTAGCTGATAGGGCAAGATTCTCCAAATGCTTTGTTGAAAGAGGGAAAGAAAATTTAACTACACATGTATATTTAATTTTACTTCACATCTTTTAACAAGGGGAGTGAGGCAAGTAGTGACTACTCTAAGAACATAAAAGAAAAAGCGGTATGTTGACTAACAAACTGTTGAAAAACATCAGTGTAGAGAAGAAACATTTTTTGGATTTGTATGGTTACTGTATATTTTACTTCAACTGTTAAAAAGGAAAGTATTAAGCATTTTACTTCACAAAAGTAACAATCAATACAACAAAGGATCATTCATTCCATGCGTTATGTTCTCCTTCCAAAGCACATACTCCAAATCTAAATGCATCAGATTTATGCAAGCATTTTTTCAGTTTTCTGCAGAGTATTAAGTATTATAATTATATCCAAGAACCAAGAATGCATTGGGGATAAGACACAGAAAATTTGGTTTATATGAGGTAATAACGGCAAGCTTCTCCACAGTAAGTGATATTACTCAGACACAGCATTTAATGCTCAGAAAATAAATGAATGTGCTATTTTCGAATTTAGAACATCCTATTTTCACTGAGAAATAGCATAAAAGCAGGCTTTCCCACTCCATTCTCAGTAGGTATACAAAAGGTGAAACAGGAATGAATGGAAAAAAACTAGAGGGGAAGAAAAAGAAGAGAAAAGGGAAAACAAAAGAGAAAAGCCACAACGTGCTATCTGGCAGGATACAATAAGCCAGTCACAGAACACAGCATGGTAACTTGGTTTTTGTCTGCAGCTTCTACCCTCATCATCTCTTATGGTCTGCCTCTCATTTTTACTCAGAAAGTACTTCTATAAGTGTATAATCTGTAAATGTTAGAATACAGTAAAGAGATGGTTTCCTATCTATACCTATTCACAACACCTAGAGGCATCACTTTTATATATTATCATGGCTACTACTGACACTACTAGTACTCTTCCAGTCAGAAAAATAATTCAAACGATCACAGTGACAAATGACAAATATGTATACATGTTGATTTTCCCTACTTTCATAGGAACCTCTGGGCTGTAATGTAGTAACAGAACAGCACATGAACAATAATAAGAAACAACAAATTAACATTTGAAGAAAACACTTTAAACAGAGTTTAAAGCTACAGTTAGTAGCTGCTCACTATCACAGAGGCCGGCAAGTCCTATCAGCTTCCATTAATACATTGCTTCTCAAAGTACATCCAGGGGTGTAGGGATCACTAGAACTTTTGTGGCATTACCTTCCATCTTCCTTTTGTGGCATTACCAAGGAACCTGCATCTTAATACACAGTATTTTCCCTAGCTGAAACTTTTACAGTAGCTGTTTTCATTTTGAGACTGAACAATTAATGACTTCGCACGTTAGTTCTGAAGTTAACATTGTGTTAATCTGAAGTTACTCTAAGAAACATTTCTGTAAGATAAGAGTGAAGCCCCCCACAAAATGTAATATATGAGCAAACAAATAATCAGTGCACAAAGATATGTGCTTTATGCCCTGGAAGCAAACCTAACAGTGGTTAGAGACTGCTGCAGGGGAGAACAAAGTTGGTCCTCAAGGAATACAGCCAAAATGCCTCAAGGCAAAAAGCAGAGACTGCCTTTAGATTAGGAATCTGCAAGCCCTCTGAGGACGAAAAAGATGGATGACCACTAGTGCTATTATGTTCTTGTGTTTACTCAAATGCAGCAACTTTCAACTGATGATGCTGAGCTCATGGTGTGGAACATAAGCGAACTCTTAAGAGTCCAATAAGTCCCTGCCCTAAAAAAAAAGGATGAGTTTAAGAGGTAGGAAAGGGTTGCTGAAGCTACTTGGAAAAAGGATACTACATATAGGAACAGGAATGACTTAATAGCTTCTCTAATTTTACTGAGAATTCAACTACTGAGGATTTTTTAGGGATGAAGGGCTGGTTTGTTTTTAACTTGTCATTTTCTATCATGGAATTTGCAGTCCAGCAATTTGTCAAAATAAAGCTTATGCAAACATAAAACTGTTGGAACGCATTTTAATATTGTAACTGATGATGATTGGTTTATACTAAAACTGTAGTTTTTGGTTGGTGTTTTTTAGAAAAAAATCAAAATAGGCAATGAAGAAGTTTAAAAAAAAATCAAAATAAGCAACGAATTGCTTGCAGAAGTCCTTACCTCCTTTGTGGACTACGGTTCTGAGAGAACTCTGAATCACTGTCCTTTGATGTTGGAGAGCCCTTATATGTATAAAAAACATCCTCTGTTTCAGTGATATAACTAATCTCATTTGTAAGGTTATCTACAGATGAGTGTCGTGGTTTCCGAATTTCATGACGTAGTCTAGGACTCCGCCTTAAAAATAAGGAACACAAACACAAGTTGGAAGATCAGAATATTTCATAAAGTTTATCAAAGTGAAGTTTCTATCCTATTGCAATGTATGTCCTGAAATCTTCACAACAGGGCTATTGGTCTCACTTTAAATAATCAACTTTTAAACATTTTTTATGGTATACTAAGGTAATCACACATGGCGAGCTTCAGTGCACTGAACTGATTTCGTATTATCCCTCTCTAAAATGCTGCCTGCATTGCTAAAGTTCTTACCATAGGACAATTCAGGCTGGAAAGGACCTATGGAGGTGATCTAGTCCAACCTCCAGCTCAAAACAGCATCAGTTGAGGTCAGAGCAGGCTGCTTAAGGCTTTTTCCAGTCAGATCTCAAAAAAACTTGAAAGATGTAGACTGCACAGCTTCTCTAAGCAATCACTGCTCAACTGTCCTTGTGATAAAGCAGTTTTTAATTATCATAGAATGGTTTGGGTTGGAAGGGACCTTAAAGACCATCTAGTTCCAACCCCCCTGCCATGGGCAGGGACACCTTCCACTAGGTCAGGGTGCTCAAAGCCTGATCCAGCCTGGCCTTGAACACTTCCAGGGATGGGGCATCCACAGCTTCTCTGGGCACCCTGTTCCAGTGCTTTACCACCCTCTCTGTGTCCAGACAGAGCCTCTCTTGTTTCAATATATACTGAACTGAAGAACCTACCCCATCCTCTAGCTGTCTTTCTCCTAAGTATTGCCAGGCTGTTATTAGGCATCTGGGAAATCCTTTATTTCCTGCAAGTGCAGTTGCCTCAGCCTCTCCTCACAGGGTAAGTGCTCCAGCCTCCTGACTACCTTGGTGGCTGGTGGCCTTTGCTGACTTTGCTCTCACTGTTGCCAGTGTCCTTCTTGTATTAGTGGACACAAAAGCAACTGCAACATTCTGGTAAGATCCAATGAATGCTGAGCAAGAGGGGGATAATCACTTCCCTTGATCTACCATCTATGCTTCTGTTAATACTGCCACGTTGTTGTTGGATGCCTTTGCTGACAGGGCAACCCAGATAGCTCATGTACAGCTTTCTGCCTACAAAGATTACCAGGTTCTTTTCCAGAGAGCGGCACGGCAGATGACTCTTGCACTGGGTTCTTCCTTCCCAGGCCTTTGCATTTCTCTTCACTCAGACAGTTCCTATTGGCCCATTTCTCCAGACTATTAAGGGCCATTTGGAAAGCAGCCCTGCCTCAAACTCATTGACTCATCCCCCCCCAGTTTAGTGTTGTCTGCAAACTTTATGAGGAAGCATTTCATTGCCTCCTCTAGGTCATGAAGATGTTAAGCTAGACAGGTCCCAAGATAGTCCCCTGCAGTACTCCACTTGTTATTGGCCACCAGGTAGAGTATGACCCATTAACAATTCCCCTCTGAGTCAAGTCATCTAACCATTTTTTTTAAAACCATCTTGTTGTCCACCCTTTTCAAACATTGTATTTTGTATATATACAAGAATATTTGTATTATATATGGGTATATAGGAGTATAATATTTTGGCAGAAAGTATCATTAGCCTTGCTAAAGTTGAGGTAAATGACACCCACTCTTCTCATGATAATATATATTCTCAGAATAACAGTGTTTCAATATATATGTTCACACTACATAATAATTCTGCTGAAGTACATACAATTAGAAAAGGTAGGAGGCTGGGAGGTATAGGAAAGGCTGAAACCTGATTTACCAATTAGGGGTAACAGGAGGTGATCGAGATGGAAGGCTTTTGGTCTCTAGATGCTCAACAGATAAAGATCGTCTCATAGATGGGTTCCAAACCATCCCACCTATAACTTTCCTGCAGTACTGACTGTTTACTGACCTGAAAAGAGACAAGAAACTGTATGTTAATTATTTTGCATAGAAAACTTAAATGAAATACGTTTATCAAAGTCAGTTTTATAATTCATGTGTTTTGAAGCGTCCTCTATGCTTGGCACTCCTCACTTCTGCATTTGCATTCTCACAGAGCCATTTGGTGACCATCACTCAAGGAAATAAAACTGTTAATCCCTGCTAGAATGCCAACCATAAGCCTGAGTAAAAATAATTTTTTCTGGGAGCTATTTTTAACCCAATTGTGAAGAAGATAGAGGGGAAAACAGGAAATTCAGTACATCCTATTGGCACTGAACCGAGTGCCTGACAAAACATAGGTCAAATACAGGCAAAAGATTCTAGATGTTCCCTGTTAAAACTCATACAGAGGTAATAATCCACTAATGACTTCACTGAGCATGGGACGACTTTAACCATCTACCTGCTGATTCAGCAAGTAAGACCTACACCAGACCATTCTCTATTTCCAGAAGGAAGCCACATTTCAGTGACGTGTTCCTTACAGGAATAAACCACTAGAAAAAAGATCTGACATGAAAACAGGATCTTCAAGTCTGGGCTGCTTCTTGTGACAAGAACCTGACAATATAAGGTTTGCATCAGAATCAGAAACTCAGCTGGGAAAGCAACACTAATATCTTACTAGTGGAATTATACAGCAGATGGAATTTTTTAGAGTAGATCGAACTTGAGATAAACTAACTTTTATGCATGTTTTTACACAGCATTCGAGAACAAAGACATAAGATGCTGTTCTTCAAGTTTACAGGCCTAAGATTTCTCATGGAAAAGAAGCAATTTGTAAGCTACAGAGAAACCAGTTTTGGCTCACTAAGTCCTGAGCTGGAGATAATGGGTGGCTGGGATAGCAGAGGATGTGGGGACTTTGCTATAGAGCTGAAGTGTCTCAATTTTACACAACATTAAAAAACCAAACCAATCAAACTTTTTACGCTGTGGATATTTATCATACTAATACAAAATCTTAAGTTGGCTTTGCATTGTACTGCTTTTTGTTCATACAAGCAAAACAGAAAAAGCAACCCAAAAATTTTTTAATATTCTGAAGTATTTTACATATTTTGTTCATTATTCTACAGCAAATTAATTCCTTCATCTTCTAAATGTGTACTCTTAAAGCTTCTCACAGTTTAAAAAAAGAGGGAAAACAATATGAAGCATCTACATGTCAGAATCAGTTATCCACGTATGTTTTTAAGCTTAGTAAACACACAGTCCGTGAACTCAGAAGCTTTTGCCTTTATTATCTATTTTGTTTCTGTTAGTCTTAAACCAGAGCTTTTTCAAAGAAGCCTTACATGGGCGGAGAGGGAGAGTGGAGAAAGAGGATGTATTAGAAAAACTAATCTTGAACAATTCTGCATATTTTGCATTAATCAGTTTTCCTTTTTCACTAGTGCCTGTTGATGAATTTTCCAGTGCAGGTGACTTCCGAGATGCACCATAACTCACGTGACGAAAAAGCCTGATCCCTAACCCCAAATTCCTAACCCTGACCACAGAAGCACTCTAACATTATATTCTCTAGTTATTTCAGTTCACGCACATAACAAAAAACATCCTGAACTCCAATTAGCTGCTCTTCAGATGTCACATATAAGGATATTTCTCAGCAAACCTACTGAGAGGCTGTTAATGCCTTTCTAAAATGGGCTGTAATATACTGAGGTCACAATTCTTTACTTCCATTTATTACCAAGGTTATCCTTTGTGAAAAAATTAGTATATTTTTAGTGTTTCAGCAAGGAATGAGAGTGCACCTAGGACAGCATGCAGTCCAGAAACGCTGAACAAACTTACCTCTCAGAATCTGGGAGACATGATTCAGCCCACCCTTAGAATAAGGCTTACTGGCAATCAGTACAACTCAGCAGCCTAATTTAAATGGAATTTCACTAGTGCTTTAAGCTAAGAGATTCTAGAAGGGCACAGAGATGCGCAAGTAAGAAATTGTACCAAAGGGCTGCAAGAGTTCAACTATTTGAACTGATGCAAGAAATGCTAGGATATCTGCCTCACATGAGCGTAACGGAACACAGTACAAGAAAGCAACAAATTCCAGAGGAGAACTTGTGGTGGTAAAACCTGAATGTAACCCCTTTCAAAGCTAACAGAAGTTAGATGAAAAGAATTCTTGAAGACAAGACAATCTTAAAAACCTCCAGAGTTGTATGGCGTGGTTGGTGGGGTTGTTGTGTACTTGTGGGGCGGGTGGTTTTGTGGGGATTTTTGGTTTGATTTTGTTTGTTTGTTTTGAAAGGGAATGAAATTTTGATCCCTTTCATAAGGGAGAATGTAGAATCCCTTTCTTGGTTGTGTAGCTTCCACATAACCTCAGAGCCATCCTTGAAAAGGAACGTTGTTGTCTTTTACAGCACCCCACAACAAGACAACATCACAAACAAGTAGAGAAGTAAAAATTCTCAGTATATCACAGGTGACTTTTTCACACCTTTTCTTAAATCCTGTGAGAAAGGAATTTGCTGTGACAGTGACCAAGTTGATAGGAACTACTGAAAGTCTTCCAAAATTATTGTTGCTTCTTATGTACTGTAGCAGTCTCTGACAGTAAAGGTTGCTGAGTCATTTCTGCCTCATGGAGAGCCTAAATTTCACACTTGTTGCTGGCACAGATATGGCCAAAGAATGCATCATTACAGAGGATATCATTAAGCAGATGAAGATATCTCAATCAACAGTCCTCCCTAGAGATTCCTTAAAAGCCTAAATAAGCAATTCACCAGAGATAATACCTCAGAACATAATATTACTTGAAAGGAACTCTTCGTTAGCAGCTCAGTTCAGCAATGAGAATGATCCTGTATGCTACAGGCGGTTAAGAAATTGTAACAGTGAACTTTGTCAAAATGAGATGTTTGGTGAAAAATGGAATGATACTAAACTGATAACCTTTGGAACTCGTACTGTGTTCTTTATTCACATTACAAAGGCTGCACAATGCCTGCGTGTGCATGCCTATATGCAGACATCAGGATTTTGAATCTGTTTGCAACTTTGAGAGAAATAAAAGATGCCTGGACGTGACAATCCTACAAACTTTGGGAAAGTCACTTCTCTCAAAACCTTCAGTATAGGAAGAACAAGTTCGTATCACACCACAGAGGAGCTGGTTCTTAAAATACAGATCTGTAAAATGTTAATTAGATTGCTGTTCATACAACTCTCTTGTTTTCATTTGCTTCAGCTATAATGTTGTATCAAGGGAAAATATAGACTTCCACTCTAGCAGAAAACAACATTTTATCCGCCTTTTTACTGTTGGACAGCCCTCATGTCTTAACTGCTTCATTTACAAGCAATACTAGTCCACTCGTCGTGAGTTTCTGCAGTGTCTAAAGAGACATCACAGTATGAAAAAACAGCCCGCCACCAAAATCTGGGAAGCTATTTAAAGTATGATGACATCATTCAAAAGCTGAAACTTATCCAAATAGGAAAGAGAGAATCAGTCTGACAAATTAAATGTAAAGTTAAACTGTTAATGGAACACACTGCAAAAAAACCCACAAACACTACACGCAAACAAAAAGACCGTAAAATACTCCTCCAAAAATCGTCAGAACAAGCAGGTTCCTAGAGAGACTACAGATGATCAAATGACCAAAGAACCCTCCAAAATCTCACATTCAGAGAAGATAATGAAATAAGACTTTGAAATAAGACTTCCTTTTTAATTCGCTATTAATATGCAAGATCTTTTATATGTTTCATGACAATTTTTTTCAGGGGTGGGGTGGGGACAGGACATGGACAGGGATGGTAATGACACAGGACATAACACATCTGTAGCTGAATTGCTGATAAATGAAACAACAGGAAAAATCAACATGGTGAAAGGAATCACTGGGACTGATACTTCAGAAAAAAACACTTAAAAGCCTCTAAGATGAAACAGCATAACTACTTGAGTGTAACCTCCTACTTTAAACTACTGATTGAAGCTACTCAAGATTTCAAAGACATTTGACAAAGTCCTTTAAACCCATAAAGAAACTAAGGAGCTAGGTAATAGGGTCCTCACTTGGAGAAATTACCTGTTCCCTTCTGACATAAAAGTGAGAAAAGGAAAAAAACGTTTTAGAGTTATAGTGAAAAAAAGATCAGCAGTGAAGTCTTAGAGGGGTATCTGTAGGGGGCTCTCCTGTTTAACATATTCACTAGTGAACTAAACAAAAGAATGAACAAAGTTCGCTGAAGACATTAATCACACAGGATAGCAAAAATAAAGGTCAGTTGCAAAGAAATGCAGAAGGACGGTACGATGTGAAGTGACTAGGCAATAACCTGGCAGGTGAAAGTTTAACGAAGTTAGAACCCAGTTGGTGCATATGGGAAGGAACAATCTGAACTTCATAGAGCAAAACGACAGGCTATGAAGTATTACTTTTGGGGAACCAGATCTTAGATACCACTATGAGACCACCAGCCCCATAACTAGCAGAACCCAATGAGGCAAATAAAAGACGTGCCCCAAAAGTGTTATCTTGAATACTTGGACGGGACAAAGCTTTTCATCTCTATGTCAGTAACAAGTGTTTTGTATGACACACTCCAGAAAGCGCCCTAACACATTAAACAGAGTGTGTATATAACACTAAGTGATACACAAACAAATCTGTTTCGCAAATTCTCTTATTGTATCATTAGCTACATAACATTTCTACTTTCTAGTGGTTTTTACACCTCAAACTGAAACAATAGTAGTAAAACATGCTTATATTCAAATACCTTTTAAGAAAATTATAAGAGAAGTTCTATTCTAATGACACCACACTGCAGAAACTGAAACAACTGCTATGTAACTTGTCAAATGGATCACATACAGACTGGGAGACAGCTGTGGACAGAGCTGAACTCTGCTACTTCAGCTTGAGCTGTCATTGACAAATCCTCCTGTTCCTATTACAGAGCAAAACATGCTTTCACACAATACTTACTTTGCAGGATTTCTAGAACCCAGGGTCCAATAATGTGACAGTATTTTTTTTTCATGAGGTAGTGACTTCTTTGCCTGAAAAAACGTGTGATGCTCTACACAAGATTTCCATAGATTTTTGCATGCTCTGTAATTTAACATGTTGAAGGCAACAATATGCTCTCTGGATTCATTCTGTAACGGTAGGAAATATCATGTTTCATTATATACAAGCAAACCAAACACAGTCAACATACTCATAAAACAACAATAAAATTACTTTTAGCTTAAGTAGGAAAAATGAATTTAAAAAACCGAAATATCAGCGTATAGTAGTTTTTAAGATGGAGATGGCAAAACACCCCTGTGACTATATGAAATTCTGACCACAAAATGGACACTTTCAACGTTTAAGCAATACTGAATTTTTTTTTCCAGTTCCTAATCCTTATAGTGTTAATGAAATATTTAAGTCTATAAAGATTTGTATATACAAATGTAATATTAAACAGTAAATATAATTCCAGGTTTCCAGCCAGACCATGACCTCCTATGACAAACAAAACTCATTTAAACATTCCATTAAGGTGGCAAGGTAGAAAGGAAAAAAAAACACCACCCTCTCAGTCCTTGAATTCAAACTCTTCACATAAGCCTCCAACTCCATAATGTTCTTTCAAGAGCCATAGTATGCACAAAGCATCTGCTTGACAGTCTTCTAGAAGATACTAAAGATGTTAAGTGTGATCCCTCTTGGGGAAAAGAAAGTAGCTGTGATGGGACTGGAACTGCTGCTACTGATGTTCAAATCTAACCCTGCTTTCTGGATGATAACACATGGATGAGGCCACAATGTGGAGATCAAAAGTAAGTCTTGGTGCAAATTCCCAGTTCTAATTTCAGTGCCAAAGTGCCAGTGAAACACAGGCGTAACGCAACCGTGCCACCCACGTTTACGTCCTTGCCAACCAGCACTTAATGAGCTATTTCAGATCCCAAGAGTTTTGCACAAGATACAGTTTTGGTTAGTCAATACAGTTATTGACACAAAGAAAGTGGAATGAAGAGCAAAGCAAAGGGGAGAAAGGAAGATAACATGAGACCTGAGTTAATCACTATCACAGCTCAGCACTTCAGTAAGTCAAGCAAGTTTTCAATTTAATCTCTCATCTTTTATAGCCACTCTGAATTACGACTGAATTTTGACACCTCAGCATACAGTTCGGCAGGCAACCATCTCAGTAAAGCTCTCTTTCTGGCTCATACTTTGGAGGAAGTCAGGATTTGGGTTGCAAAGCCTTTTTAAAAGACTCAGACTTAATAAAGCTCTCTTGTACAGGGCAGCAAGAAATAGAGGTTCCACCTGGATAACACCTTGATTTCTAGTTGCCATTGTCCTGTCATTTGTTCACAGCAACAATCCTACTGGGTAGTAATTACAGACCACTTTGGTTGGAATAATCAACCTGTTTGTCTTGTCTTTTTATTGCTAGGCAAAATGTTACAAATGCAATGTATCAGACATCACTGCCACATTCTGCAAGTCACTTTATGACCAGTTGAGAGAATCTACGACCAAAGTCACTGTTTTAGAAAACTAATGAGAACCTCAAGCGAAAGACAGAAAGGAATTGCCCCTTGATTTTACACAGGCACTGAAAAACATTAACTGATTGCAATCTTTCAGCTATGTTTTCCCCGTATCTATTAAAACGTTAAAAGAAATATTTTTCTATGTTTTTAAGAAGCAGGGTTTGTTATTTGAGCCTCATGCATACTGGAACCAATTCACCTTTATCAGTTCACCACAGATGCTTCTGATTAGCTTACATAAAGTGTGCAAGCACAGTGAAATTTTAAGTCAGATTTTCTTGCAATATAGAGCACAAGATTTAATGACAAACACTCTTACATACACCCTGTTGGCTGAATACCACTGGAAAATTTTACACTATTCCAGAAGACAAATAAAAAGAAGTGTACAGTTATTTTTGTCAGCTTGGAGTGCTGGTCTTTCAGTTGCCATAAAAATTGGATTATCCAAACAACTCAGTTATACTGAAAAGCCATAGTATATCAATAAGGAATTAAGTCTATCTAATATTACGTTTTTAAATTTAGGTTTGAAAATAGTAATGAATCTTGCCCCCTAAGCAACAAGTATATTCTCCCCAACTGTTGTCACAGAACTTTCTTAACACCTAAGTGGGCTAAAAGTTTAAATAGGGACTTATGTTAGGATAAATACTTTCAGAAGTTTCAGAAAAACAACTTTTTAAATTAACAGAATCTTCCATTAACAAAACCATACAGCACACTAATAAGCCACCTTGCAAGATGTGCTATGAAATCGATGCAACATTTTCAAGACAAAGAACATCCCAGCAGGATCCAAGGTTTAGAGCCTATCATTCTTCTCAACTCAAATTCCAAAAGAATGCTATTTTAGTAGTTATCAAGAAAAATGAGGATTAGAGAAGTTTATGGCCATTAAGTTAGAGGGAACAATTCTCAATGTCTAAAGTGAGTGTCTTGCTATTTCAGCATCAGGGAAGAACTTTGGTCAGAGATATGCCTATGCCATTCACAAAGAATTTGAAAGTACCTACAGCACAGCAAGCAAAAACATATTTTAATATGCAGAAAATGAGGTTGGTTTTAAGCACCAGATAAATACCCTGGATATAAAGTTTAATTGCCGGAAGCTTCAAAATGTTGCCTATAAACCATCATAGCTCCTATTCCCACCTTAAATCTTGCACTGTTCATTAAGTCGACATATGAGCTTTTCTAGCATCAGACATTCACTGATTGCTCTTCAGTCCTTATGTAGCTCTTCAGCAGCCACAGAAATATTGCATACTTCTAACAAGTAGCTGATCAACTGACTGAAGCGGTGGGAAGGTAAAAAGAGGTGAGTAGCAGAGAGACAGTGAGATAAGGTGAGTCTTCAGAATAGGCTCACGGGAAAGAACAAAAAGGAGTAAGAGAAATGGGAGAATTAATCAATGAAACATGGCACATCCCACATGACTACAAATTCGTAGCCCTTGAGAACTTTCTGTAGATTTTTGTGAAGAAATCTATACGTGAAATACAAAACCCTGAAATATTTATAGCACCGTCACCATCTTTAGTAAAATCTTGCCTACTAATATGTAGCATCTGCTCTGCTTTCTCCTCCTTCTTTTACCTTCCTTACTTGCAGCCTCATTTACCTATTGCCTCCTGCACTTACAAGCAGAAATGAAATCGATCCAAGGACTGATGTGACCTCAGTCATCTGCTCTCACCAATCCCTCAAGCGAGCCACCATTCTGGAAAGACTCTCTAGCAGCACAGCTGCCCCCTCACTCCCCTTGCACTCCAACAGCAAGCTTTTCAAAGCAGTAACACTGAAGTACTGAGGGCATGCAGACTTGCTGCCCTAAATTTCAGGCACAGGGGGATAACTGACAAGGATGGATATATCTGGAGATTTTATAGCACACCTGGTCTGCTTTTTCATACCTACTGAGGAGTGAAAAGGTCATCCGTCTGTCCTTATTTTTCCTACAGTTCTGTAGAGCTCTGAGCACAATGCAGTGTGCATTCCTGTAATCTCAGTGGGTTATGAAATAAAGAACTATGATCATTTAAGAGAAGATTACTTAAGAGAATCAAGGGCCTTGAACTGTCATAATTTAACAAAAGCTTACTTAAACACATTTTAAGAATGCTGCCTTCCTCAATGGTGCCACAGCTCTCCAGAAGGGAAGTTAACTTTTGACAGTAGTAAAGTCCTTATGCAATGAACACACATATTTTACATGATCTTTGAGTCCAGCAATTGTAACAAATTGGCACTTTATCCCTCCATATTCCAAATAACTCCTGTAAGCATTCTCATTTTACTATCCATTGTTACTAACCACTCAGAGTTCTGTTCCTACATTCATTCTAACAGACAATTTGAAACTGCTGTCAATTGCTGATATTTGTATACTTGAAGATATTTAAAATTTCTTAAGACTCCTTATCAGTTACTTTTTAATCCTCAAACCTAGAAGGTGGTGATACTTGCCAATGTCATACAATTACACTGAGTGTAATACAAATACAATTACACTCACAAGTAACAGAACGGCTTGCCAACCATACAGTGAAATACATTTAGCAGACTGAGATAAGTTTACATATAAACAATATATTTAGAAACTTAACAGCTTGCAGAAAACTTAAGACCCCTCTATGTTGGGTTAGGACAGTGTCAAAAGAGAAAACAATTTAATTTGTCCATGCTATGGGTGTAAGCATTAGTGCAGTAGCACTACGTCTAGATATAACTTCATTTACACAAGCCCTGAAAATTAAGGATGTGTACGTATATGCACACTCCTCAAATCTGGGAGATACCCACCAAACTGGGGATGGGAAGAAAAGAAAGAAAATATAAAAATACTCTCCTTCTGGGTAAAAAACCCCAGCCTCCCTAGCATGTTCAGCAGACACTAATCCACGAGGGTCAAGAGGTCTTCTTGTAACACAGCTCCTCGCAGTTTAAGAGCTCATTTTCTAGAACAGTTTTCACAGAGTTTAGGTATAAGTTAACACTTACCTTTCACTATCTGAATTCTGTCCTCGACTGAATTAAAATATCTATATATCTGCTGGTCACTAATTTCTGTATTTTTTCCTATCGTATTAATTATTGTCTTCCTCTCCTCCAAAGACAGCCCAATTTATTTCTTCATGTTGTGCCAGTACAATACTGTAATACAGATTCTTTTTTTTTTTCTATTAAATAGCCTAATATTACAACCTTTCTGCAAAAGGCAGGCACACAGCATTATGAAGGCTAATCTTGATTTTCTATTGCACAGTTTTGTCAACTGTCTTCATCTATTTTGCCATCTTCTAAAATGCTCGATGTTACATGCAGGAGGAGATGTCCCCTGTCCAACTGCATGTCTTTCAGCTACAGGCCTGCCCTTTCCTCCAAATACCTTCCTTTCCATCAGAACTCTGAGCCCCATAAGCAGAAGGGACCTCTCACAGTCCTCCTAGATGGGATAAGCAGCTGTTCAGTAGATTCATTGCAGTGACTCTACTGGGCAGGGAGAGCATCTGAGAAAAGAGCAGCAGATGCTGACAAGAAAAGGGAAATACACATTAGTTTACAAAATACTGGAGAAAGGACAAAGATCTCCATTTCCCCCAAGTCTCCCAGAGAGGAGACCTGCATGGGTAAGATACAGTCCAACAGACTGAATGTGAAAAGATTCCATGCTGGAAAGGAAATGAAAATGGGAAACAGAGCAAGCGTAAAAGAACCACAATAGCAAGGGCAAGTTAAGAAAACCATTTTAAAGGCAAGTTAATACAACAGAGCCTTTTGTTGTCTTAACATTTGGGGGAGAAAAAAAAGACCACTTGAGCAAAAGAAAACAAAATGGCTACTTACATGTTTTTGCCGTTGTTGTATAAAAAACTTTTTCCTTTTAAAGGAAATTTTTAATATGTTCACCCTAAAAGAAAGAAAGAGACTATGAAATACTAAACAATGCTTAGGGGCAGGGGGGAGGTGGGGAAAGAAAAATAATACTGCATACAGCAAGACTAAAAGATTATAGCTGTTAAATATTCAATAAATAATATGCAGCCATCTCCTGTACTGAGTAGCAATAGGTGTCGAAAAACTCAAAGCAAAGATTTTAGCTAAGGAAAGATCTTTTAAAAATTGAGATTCTTCCTCATTTACTCTTTAAATAGCTCACACAGCAATTCTCTCCCACCAAATCTATTCTTGCAGCAAAAACTTGATGACATCCTTTACTAAGTCACACAAGTGTTAAATGTATAACTTAAGAATCATGACAACTGTGACTAAAGGAACAAAATCTAAGACCCTAATGACATGACAAGGTTGGTCATACAACATCTGACATTTCCCAGAGACTTCACAGATTGGCTTTGTAATAAGAAAAATATCATGTACTTTTATTAATAAGTAAACAACATTCTAGTTAAAATCATAACCGTAGAAGGATATTAACATTCATTCTTACAGTTTTCAGATTTTTCACTTCAGTTAGCATCTCTGCATAATTAACGTGGTAATGTTATACAGAACTGAACACCTCTTTTCTATACATACATAGTATGAATAAAGATTTTCTAAGGTAAGGATTACAGTTGGAATTAGTGCTCAAGCAACCTTCATTTTATTATATGCTTATCAGTTTTGCTAAATTAAACTTCTAGGTACCCACACACTTTCCTACAGCTTCACAAGACTTGTCTGAAATATCTGTATTTTCTCTACAGTACTTCTACTTCAATAACTGAAATATTACACATTTTGGAAAAAAAAAAATCTATGAACAGTTAGAATCATATGGATGCCTTGGGAAAGCTATTTAAGGTCTAATCGCTGCCTGAAAAACACCATCTGCACACCACGAAAAGGTTTTGAAAGGCTACTGTCAACAGTCTCAGAATATTCATAGAATCACAGAAGGGTTTGGGTTGGAAGGGACCTTAAAGACCATCTAGTTCCACCCCCCTGCCATGGGCAGGGACACCTTCCACTAGACCAGGTTGCTCAAAGCCTCATCCAGCCTGGCCTTGAACACTTCCAGGGATGGGGCATCCCCAGCTTCTCTGGGCAACCTGTTCCAGTGCCTCACCACCCTCTCTGAGAAGAATTTCTTCCTGATATCTAATCTAAACCTCCCTGTTTTCAATTTAAACCCGTTACCCCTTGTCTTGTCACTACAGGCCCTTGTAAAAAGTCCCACCAGCTTCCCTGTAGACCTCCTTCAGGTACTGGAAGCCTTCAATAAGGTCTCCCCGGAGCCTTCTCTTCTCCAGGCTGAACAAGCCCAACTCTCTCAGCCTGTCCCCACAGCAGAGGTGCTCCAGCCCTCTGAGCATCTTCGTGGCCCTCCTCTAAACGTGGCCCATTCTCATCAACTGATAATGTTTCACAGCCCCTTAGACCTCATCATGTGTGATCTATATTGATGATGTCCTCAGTTCTTACCACAGTTTTTGCACTGCTCCCGGCAAGTGGGATAATGGTATATCATTCATTCCCTACTGCCCATGACAGATATGCACCCTACAGCACAACGTTTCTCATTCATACAGGATTCATGTATTTGTCAGTTACAAACAAGAAAGGAAGCAACAATCCCCCATCTTGCACAAAAGAGGTGGAAAACTGAATGTGTGCCTGTTTCTGAAAATGCTTTTCTCCATAAATTACAGAACCACAATGAAACAGGAATTTCATTCACACGTCCTTTGCCGACCAGGCAAACTGTTGTGCGTGGTTACTAGAAAGTTTAAATCACATCCACCTCTCCTGTCAGGCCAACTCCAGAAATACCTGTGACATCTGACTTGCTACCTCAAACAGCAATTATCTGTACTGCTCATCTAAAAGTTCTGGACTCTGAATTTCCTGATAAGTCACAAACTTTCAGTTGCATTTACCAAGATGCAACTCATTTATGTATAAAGGCTTTCTTAATCCTAGTGCTACTACTCCACTTGAATTAGTACCACTCATGTTTTCCACTTCTGGATGTTTCTTAACGTATGTCTGGACTTCGGCTCAAAAAACTTATTTGTTGAAGTCTAATCTTTCTTAGCTTACACAGTCAGCACATGGTCTGTTTTTTACCCTAATGAAGAGCCAGCAGAAACGGAGGACACAGAAAACTAACCTTGCAGACTAAGCAAAAACCCCTACACCCAACAAAAAGGTAGCCAACATCCAAAAATACCTAAACAACTTTTTCAATCCCTCCCCTCCTTTTTTCCCGCTCCAAAAAAACCCAAACAAAAAACCCCAACAAAACATGATTCACTGCATGACCATATAATTACTTCAAGTCAAATCAGGGCTTTAAATCTCTTTATTTTAACTCTCCTCCAACTAGAGCATCCCTCTCAATTCCATTCATTCTTCTTGAAGTACAACTAAATCTATTTAATTCAGTGACAAAGAACACTTACTAATTTGACAGTGTTATTTAACATTAACTAAAAATCCTTTGCAATGCTACGCCTACAAGCTGAAGTGAATGTTCGCATATAGCACAATCCACAAAAAATCCAAGAGATTAAGGTATCAAAGAATTTAGATTTTAGAAATGCTTGAAGATGCCACATCCAAAACATGATTTGGAGTAGAATGCAGCTATTCGTATCCTAACTGGTAGCTCAGTTGCCCTTATCACTCACCAAAATTCCAGTGACTATGCAATATTCACAAATGAATAAAAAAAAAAGCTCAATATTTGTAGTCTATTAATAATGACACATCTTTTGGGTCCTGTCTTCCTATCATTCACAAAGGTCAAGATAGATTGGTTGTGTAGTAGGCAAGAAAACTATTAATTTCTGATCAAACTGGTAGTTCTGTCCAAGTACTTAGTACTAAGAGCTGGTATTTTTTGACTTGAAGCAAAACTGTTCTGTAACTGAAAGTCTCATACTTTGCCACTGGAATCATAGAATTGGAAGATTGAGCAGGAAAGGTTCTGTCAGACTTGCTGCATAAGACTGTTGAGTTGTTTTTAAATTTTAATTAGCAACACAGAATGAATTCCTCTAGAACTTTCTCTACAGTTTTCAAAGCAACGAAACTGCATACACTGAACAGCATTTAACACACAACCTTAATTGCTGCTGATGCGGAGTGCGTGTATGGTTTTGCCGTTAAGACAATATTCTACTTGCAAAACAAATTTGGAAATTAATCTGAAAACAGTAGAGCACCCCCAAGAATAACTTCCCAGAGCATAGAAAATACTGCATTAAATCCAGAGTTATTTTTTAAATATGCTTTGACTTGCATTGCCTCTGACTGATCAGTCAGCTCCTTATGTAGGTTGCTTTGATTGAAAACCCTCCTTTTGCCAAGGGAGTATTCTCTTAGTGCCTCTGTTCCTGAAAACTTTTCGTCCCCTTTGACTACTACCATATGGCATAGTTGTACTGTCATCATCCACTAATGCTGCACAGGGGTTTACTTAGTTTCGCAAAAAGTGTTTTGATGGTGTTTGCTGCCACCTCGAGTTCTACCACTTTTATTGTGAAGCTTGCTCAGCCGATAGGAAAAACTACTTACTACAAATGGTGTTACATAAACACTATTTAACTTAAATCTAAATACTATTTCAATCATCTAAATGTTTTGGGTTTTTTTTTTTGCATTCTGAGGCTTATACTGTTCTGTAAGGCATCTCCTTACCTGCACACCTTCAGCTCAACCAAGATACATTAAAATTCCAGGCATTACATAAGTATATTCTCCTCTGAAGTCTAAAAAAGAAAGTGGAAGTGTACTACACTACAAATACAGCCCAGGCTTGTCTGGTCTGGTGACTTTACCTTGTTTGCTTACTTTTGGAGGGCAGGGAATGGACACCATTCCTTCATAAAGATAGGGTTATGACTAACCCATTCAAGAAGCCAGAAATAAATTATCAAAAAGTTATCCCCCATGTAGAGAGTTTTTGCTCCTTTCAAGTTGAGAAGATATTTTTAGAGAGAGAGTAGGAAAGCTTGGAACAATTGCATTAGCTGTCAGCTGACAACACTGCTGCCTAAACCTCATATTTGAGAATGGAAATTATTTGAACTGAAAAATTGGTGGGTTTTTTCCTCTCCATTTCTTTTCATGAGAATAAGCTTTTGTAAATGACGTTTTAGCATGTGTTTTATTCCTCTTTGCTCCTGCCTTGTATTCTATCAAGCTCCCTTTTCCTCCCTAAGAAATCATATAATCCTGGGATTTAAAATGGTATTGCTATGGTTTCCAGAATTAATATTACCCATTCATACCTTAGATCACTAAGTTGGCACAAAAAGACTTGCAGAAGACAGAAAAATGTGCCTCCAGTTGGTAGTTTTTAAAACCTGCAGCTGTTTAAAGAAGCTGTGAGACTGACATATGAAAGGGCAGAGCTCAGGGCACAAAGATGAAAGATAAAATTCTTTAATGTTTTAGTGTACATTAGAGAGGGAAAAACACAAGACTGTGCTGTAAGAGAGCGTTATTGTTATACATTTAGGATGGTTACAGTACATCCGTGAGATGAAAGACAACTCTCTGCACAGAAAAAAGAAAAGTCCAGAGACTGTGCAGTACATTTTCCACTAAAAATAAATTGAAACCTATTTTATTGTTTTCTCATAGGAAGTACCTGTTAGTATGAGTTCCTAATGAAAGGATGGTATGACTTGAGTATCTAAGGAATATTCCTTAGAGGCACTTTTTTATGTAATTAAGGAGTTAAAAGCAAGTACAACCCATTAGAATGCACTTTTCTGTCACGATTAAGAAAACGTTCTCCAGAAAAACTGTTACAAATTATATGAGGAAATTATGCATAACATGACAAAGCTATACTTCATCAAGCATCCGAAAAATTTCATATTAATTTAAAAAAAGAAAGACGGGAAAAAAAATCTTTCAGATACAATCCAAAAACCTTAAGGAAAGGCCCAGCCTCCATATAATTTCTAACTTAGGGTATCAGTTTTAGTATGGCATAAATAACAAAGCCTATAAATACTATAAATAATTATTTAACTGATTTCCAATGTCATTCATATTAGACATCTTGTGCACATTGCTTCTTCACAAAAATTATTTAGAATGCATTACAGTGCTGTAGAAATGTTTTCAGTATCATAGAATAATGCAAAAGTCTCTCTCCTAGAGACTCCAAAACCTTTTAACGTTATATAGCCTTGTTTGCTGACATTTAAAAATTTGTCTGAATTATATTATCCTAGTTCCAGTAAATCTGAAATTCAAAATAACTCATTTTACATTTCTTTTCTGAGAAGCTAATATTTTCATGCTGAATGACAGGATAAAATGATCAGCCCATCAGCTATTGAACTTTACTAGTAATACTGATTTTAAAAAAAAAAAAAAGGACAGATTATTTGGTATAATAACAGCAAGTCTAAGAGTACATGATTAGGAAAAGCCCATGGGGAGACTTGTATGTGAATTAATTTGATCAAGACTTGACACAGTGCAAGGAGTCCAAAACTCTTAGAGAATTTAAAGTCTAAACAATAGGTTTCATTTTTATCTCAACTTAAGGAAAAAAAATGATACACCATAAAGAACAAATTTATGTATTGCATTCTTTGGTATGAATGTTAAAGCAAGTGGAAGTAAGATTAAAAAGACAAGACATATTTCTTTATTAGTAAAGGAATTTACCAGGGATAGAAGCTTGTGCAGATGAGTTTTCTATATACAGCAATTCCACTGGATGCAATCCCAATCATGAGATCTAGATTGTGGAGATCCTGAAAACAAACAAACAAACAAAGAAACCTGTAAGAACACAGATGCAAGTTTGTAACATTCCCTTTTATCTACTTACAAATTCGTTTTCAAGTTTTCTATACTTAAATTGCTACTCCTGAGTTGATGCCAAAATTCAGTCAGACACTTGGATTTTTGTTTCTCACACATTTCTCTTACAGTGTTATCTACAAAGTATTACAAATTTCCACTCTTTAAAAGAAGTTGTAATGTTCATCTTACTACACTAGATGTTGTTTAGGTCAGCATCTGACTAAGGTTTCAAGTCTAGCCTTATTAATTTAACCACAGCAAAGAATTTGATGTACTTCCCAATGTCAGTCAGGTAAACATCACAGAATTTTGGGAACTGAACACAAATGTCCTGATTCTCTGCTGTTTGAGAAGACAAAGGAAATAATTCCTTATTTTTTCCAAAAAGGTCTTACCAAAAAAGGCTGGGCAGGAGGTGACCACAATTCTGCATATGAAAGTATGCCAGAGGAATACACATGTGTACATGAATATTTGATACACTAAACATTGTTAAACAAACAAAATTGTGCATTTGCTCAACACACTTAAATGGAAAAATGCATCCGTAAATTTACAATCCTTTTTATGTATTGAGATATTCAAGAGGAAAAACATACTGACATATAATCAGACACTTGAGTTAAAAGAAAAAAAGGGGTGCTGGGTGGGGGTGGGGGTGTAGGTCACTGAATGGTCAATTTGAGTCTAAACCCAAACTGATATTACAAAAAAATTTTACATCTTGGCTTCCTATCTCTCTATGACCAACAAATACTAATACATTATTATGCAAATTTCTAAACAGATCTGAACACGTGCATAAATCTACATGGAAGTGTAGAACCCGACAGTTAAAACACCAGGTTTGACTCAAGAGTAGTTTCAGACTATTTTGTAAAGGATGGCCAAGGGTAATGGATTTTTCCTAAAGCCTTCAGTAACTTAGCTGCTCCTCTAGATGGTGCTCAATATACAGTTTTCTCCTATGTCCAATCCCGATTTCTTTATATTGGTTAGGTTCAAAAGAATGGAACAAATAGCATGTGCTCTAACAATACTGTGGAAAGTCTACCATAAATCCTTCAAAAATAGTTGAACAGAAGCATGATACAGGCACATGAATGAAGCTGAATGTAATTTGCAACATGATTTATAAACCTCCAGTGAAATACCACAGCAGTTCATAGAGAATGAGCATAACCTGTTCAATACATAGCTCATTAACACTAAATACTGACAAGATGAGAGGAACAGCAGTCCTTCCTCAGAGTATAATAAAAAAATCATTAGGTAGGTAGCAGTCCAAATAGACAACATCAGTGTAGCCCAGAATCAGCAGAAATTATTAATAATACCCACAACCTGCCACCTCAGCTGGTTGAATCTCCATTGGAAGAAGCTCATGAACATCCAGTTTATGCCAGTGTATTATAGGTATCCAGAACTAACAACCTGTTAATACTCAGGGAGAAAACTGAGGCATTTCAGGAGTTGAATTGGCTGTAATTTTGCTCCCCCTGACATGATACAACCAACCTAAAGCAGCGCAGAAACCTGTATTATTAGTACTTGGAGCTTACTCCAGGTTCCTGTTTTTAAAAACCAATATTGTGAAGAAAAAAAAAAACAGCTTTAAGAGAAAAAGATGAAAACATACATGATTTAGCAGAAATAAAAGATTAGCTAAACACTTGCTAGAGATTAATTAGGCTGAAGTACTGTATTTTCTCTGGGAGCTTTGTCAGAACAAAGTTCATTCCCCACCCCTCTCTGCCCCAGTCCAAAATACTAACCTCCCATGCAGTTTGTTATAATGAATTCTCTTGTGTTAAACCTCAGAAATCCAACAATATTTTGGACTGGCATAAAGAAAGAGGGTCTCCCGAAAGAAAGATGATGTAGTTGTGAAGTTATTTCCTTTTCAAAACATCTACACTGTTAAATTGCACAACTAAGAAATAACATGCATATACATTTCTGTTTACCTATTTCTTTATGTAGATAATTAAAAAAAAAAAAAGATAAAACCATCATGCCAGGCATCTAGCTAGTTAAATACTGATTGATATTTGATTTAATTTACAATTATCATCTGGATTTTTGTACATATGGAAATAATATTGATTCTACAAATTTCCTGTCTTCAACTCTCTGAGTAAAAATGAAATGTGATTTAACATCAGACTAATTATTGAGCAGATGATAGTGGTCCAGAGACAAAAGGACATTAGGAATTCAAGAAAGCTCAATACAGTTTTCAAATATTGAATTAATTCTCCTGAGTTTCTTAATACTATTTCATTCTTGAATATTACAACTTTAGCAGTTCAGATTTATCCTCAGAGAAAAGCAGATGTGTTTGCAGGTGAAGGCTGAGTTCAGACTGATTCACTAATGGAAGTTCTGTGTTTAACAAGTTGCTAAAAAGAAATCTCACACTCAGCTTCTGCAAAATATTTAACTTCACACCATAAAACATTAAAATTCAGGAAACTAGATATTTATCTGTTCTTCAAGAAACATTATCCAAAAGCATCCCACTCTGAACCACTAGTACAGAAGCACCAGCTTCCTGGCCATTAGTATAAAAGCCAGGTGTTAGCTAGTCCCTCTGCCATACACACTCTAAAAGGACTATTTTATCAGCAAAAAGCGAAATTGTAGGGATCCACAGAGATAAAGCCTTTCAAAAAGCCACAGTTTAACTGGTCCCAGCTAGATCTGTTCAAAGCACTGTAATCTGACAAAACTGCAGGGGTGATTTCATCAGAGCAGTATTAGGTGGGGGAAGAACAATCAGCAGGCATGGCAAACATCCCTGGGGTGTAAGGCTGGGGTGTAACGTGGTAGCCTCTGTGAAGCAGCAGCATACTGGGGAGGAGGTATCTAACCTTCACCACAAACTTGAGAAAAGCATTACTCGACAGCCAACCAGCTACTAGTTGAGACCAAACATTGAGGAGTACTCTTCCGCAGAAATGCCGCAGCACAGGCAAAGCACTCGGCAAATAGAAGACTATCTGCCAGAAGGCAACGCTGAGAATGTCCACTTTGATATAATCCAGTGCTGTCCCTTTTCTTATAGGCCTTCAGGAGCACAATCAATGATAACGTGCCGTATGTGTTAGCAAAAAGGTTCGCTTCATGGCATTAAGTGCAAGCAACGACTTGTAACCGATGTTTTAGAAGCACTAAACTCCAGGGACAAACAATCACACCATGTCATGGTTTAACTCCGGC